AAATAATAATAGCGAAGAACATCAAGCTTTTACTACCTCAAATAATTTGTTTGTACATTCGTAGGTTAAAAGTTTGTTCAAGCCAATCTTATTATTTCGCCTCATTGAACTACGTCAACAACATACAAATTAAAATACGGTTACAAATCAAGTGGTAACTTTAGTTTTGCTGACTTAAGAAGCTTTAAGTACTGCTTTAAAAACTTTTGGCCTGAGCAGAAGAGCTTCATCACAAATGCAACAAATTGTGAGCGCATATTGCATCGAATGCTTTTAGATGTCACATAATGTCTGAGAAATGTTTAACTAGAAAGACCTCTTAATATTAAAGATAACCCGAAAGCTACACAAAGCTTCAATTCCTAATAACGGTAAAAATATTATTCAGCTTTGGATACAACACCGTAATTGTATCATAATAAAAATGCTCCTGAACCGATGCAAACATAAAGTTTATAAACCTCTTCTGCTTCTGTACAAGCTTCAAGCTTTCATATGGAATACAAACCGCGAAACTAAAATTAATAAAATAAGCTTATAATTATGGCTGATCAAAGGTTTGAACAGATTTTAATATTTTGAAATTTTTTCCTGCTACTTTCAATGCGCTGGAATTTTGAATATTTAACAGCTTCTTTGGGAACAGCGTTGCCATTTATCTCAAAAAAAATGATCAATGTATTCAGGAAAAGAGAACGTACATCGTTTAAAATAAGAATTTTCAGAAAGTTTTCGATACATATTTGGGAACAGAGTTGCCTTTCCAAAATCAAATAAAAGCGATCAAAGTAATAAAAAGGATGTAACGTTTATATTAAGAATTTCCTTGAATTTTTGACATTATTACGAAGAAAGTTTAATTTAAGTACTTAATTTTTTTTTTTTTAAATAGTTTTAATTTATAAATGAGTAGCTTGCGCTTATAATTGATGGCAATTTTTTCATGTCACTGCCACACACGTAGCTAATGGTCGGTTAAATTGTTGATTGTCATTTGATTGTTTTTGAAAGTGAGTATGTATACACTCGTGTATTTTTTCTGGACAGCTCTTCGCATTTCATTGTCTTTGTTTGCATGGCCGTTGTTACTGTTCGCACGAGTATTGTTATTGTTGATTTAAGCGCTTTTTGTTAGTCAATTTTCCTGCGTGTCAGAAAGTATGGTAATTGCAGTGTTTACTATTTTAATTTTTGCACTCAGCAATTTGCACAAATTAAACTTTATTTTGCACAAACTATGATTTTAAATTTTTGCTTTTATTATTGCTCGCATAGTTTTACTTTATTCATATATATTTAATTCTACTTTTTCAATGCAAATTTTTTTTCCTTTTTTAATATTGTACATATCTTACTAATTTATTTTTTTCAATTAAATGCCTCGCGCTATTTGCTTTAATTTGACAGCAGCCATCTGAGTGTAAGTTAGTGCTATTTTCTGTGGTTTTACTGTCAACAGGCGTAGTTGAAACAAAAAAAATATTGAACATCAAACAAACAACCGGTAATATAATACTTATGGGCTTTAATTGCTCACCAAACAACAAAAAATTATTTAAAATTATTTAACAATAAGCATTAATGACGCATGAATAAAGTGTGTGCAAAAAACCACTTGCCAGACAGAGATTTCCATTAATTTAATTAGCAATGCCAAGCAGTAAATTTTTAAATATTGCTAGTACTTTTTCGTGCAGTTTCAATACTTAAACAAATTTGATATTTAGACAAATTAAATATTGATATAAAAAGGGATATTAATAGTACTTAAAAAAAAGAAATTGCAGCAAACAAATTATGATGTAGAATAAATAAGCTTACTGGGCTTACTCGAAAAAATTATGTCTCAACAGTACTTTTTAAGTTTTTGTTTATTGAAGCTCTTAGAATTGAAATTTAAAGCACAAAAGTTACCATTATTAAATAAAAAAAATTAATTAATATTTTTTTATGATTTTCTAACATACAATTTATGATTGCAAGCAAACGGTAAAGTTTTATACTCATATATTTATAATATAATACTTATAATAAAATTATTAATTATTTATAATAAAATTTTTAACAATAATTTCATAAATTATGTTTTTTTTTGCTTTCTTTAACGTCAACTTTGAAAACGATTTCGACTAGAGTTACCAATTCGTCAAAAATTTTATTTAGATATCTTAAAAATTTTGCAGAGGCGTGTTTATTAAAACTTTTCAGCCTTTATAAAAATAATATTTGCTAACAGATGGCAACTTCGTTAAAAATTAGAGCAAATTTATATAAAAAATTCATATTTTGTACAAAGAAAGTATGGAAATTAAGAAACTTCACTTCTTTTGCAACAATTATATTAAACTATTATTATTATAAACATATGGCAACACCGTTAAATAACAAAAAATTTAAGCTGTGCCGTAATTTTTCGACTTACTTAAAACAAACAACATATTTAAGAACCGATGGCAGCTTCGTTAAACCTTATAGCATATTTTTATAAGGGTGACAACGTTACATTTATACTCAAGCCATGTTTTGTAGAAAAAAAGTATTAGAAAATTTAAATGTCACTTCTTTTTAAACAACGATTAGGATTTTTCATAACTGACAACACTCTTCCAAGCACCACTCAATGGCAACCTTGAAGAAGCAAATAATATTTATAATAATTGCACACAATTATTCACAAAATGGTATCTTATTACTTTTTTATTACTTTGTGCGTTTTTACAATATAATCTTTCATTTCAATTATATATTTAAATAGTGATAGTGATAGGCAGCACTATTTTACATAATTCACTCTCAATTCAGTTCTACTATTTAATATTTTTGGAGGCTATTACAGAATTCAAAAATTTAAATTTTTTGTTGTTTTCTAGCTTATGAGATATCTGTCAAATTTCAACCGTCAAATGTCAGCCGTCAGCTCTCATCTCTTACAAAAGCAAGATTATACAATTGCAATTCCAAATTTATGCATGTATATTTATGTTTTTGCTTCGTTTAGTTCGATTTAGATTTTTTTCATTAACTTTATTTTTATTTTTTTATTTTTATCTTTTTTTATTAACTTATTTAAATTTTAATTTTAAAAGTAAATTTTCATCATTACGAATGTGCGAATTTTTGCACTTTACCCTTTAATTAAGCCTAATGAAGCGAAGCAAATATTTATGCACACATATGTAATTTGCTAACAAAACATGCTGACGAATGCATGTCGCACGAGTAATTAATATCACATTGTTATGAACATACATAGGTACATAGCATCACAAGTTCAACATGCTGAATATTTTTTTCCTTGCATTTAGTCTGTTTTTTTCTACTAATTTAGCAAATGAGCTCTACACACTAGCACTAAGGCTGTCTATTTGTAGTTGTAAATATACTTGTATGTATATGTCTATATATTTTTTTTTTCATTTATTTTAATATAATCGTCATAGTTACTGCTACTGTACGACGAGCGCGCCAACCGAGGTTGTGATTTTGATTATGATCATTAAAGTTCGCATGACCAAGCAGAGAGAATTATATTTGGTATAAATATTTTCATTAGTAAAGTAATTAGGTGGAAAATATTTGCGGTAGATAATATCTTACTTTACGGCGGTAATTTAGTTGATATGTCAAGAGAGTGAGAGAAGCTTGGAAATAGTATTTAAATCACTTGTTTGATTGAGATTTTTTGTAACTTTCATAAAAACACCATATTGTCTTGGCATTATGATGGTTTGTGTCTAAAACTCGAGTTAAGGAGTTTTTGTTTACGAAAAAGTATTCACCATGGAATCTTTTAGAAATCTGGTGTACGTTAATGTTGCAAATCAAAATCGAGTTTAAAGTTTTGTGTTTATAAAAAAGTGTTTGATATTATATATTATATGTTTAAGAAATTCTGTCGCACTTAAACTTTGCAAACCAAACTTGAATTTAAGGTTTTGTGTTAAAGAATAATTGTTTTTTGTTTTATATTAAAATATATTTTTATATAAAATTGATATATACAATGATGCCAAGCTGAACAATTTTTAAGATGCGACCGAATATTTACACAATGCATAAAGCGGGTTTAAGAAAAATATTTTTTAAGGCAATCGTGTTAGTGAGCACCTTTTTTCATTAAACTCCAGTTAGTGGTGGAACGTAGATACATTTAAGGTAACAATCAGGATAGATTTTAGTATGTAAATCTTCGCTACTAAAATGGAAATCCAAACATTCCAGAAGAGAACATAGATTGTAGCCCATTGTTTATGCTCACTTTTTCAAGTTTTGAGTTAATCGAGTGAAGCCATAGCCCTCTACTACTTTTATTCCTTACATCATTTTACAAGTCATTGAATATTTGCTGACGCATGCTTCACCTATTCACTAATTTTATGTTGTCAACATAATTTTCAACCCCACGTAACAAACATAACTTTATATATACATAGCTGTTTCACAGTGTCACATATTTTTATTATTCTTTTTAATAATTTTAAAAATTTTACAATATGCTTCCCTTCATTTATACGCGCAAAAGGTCAGCTATATCTGATTTCTTGGGCATTAATATGCCATCAAGTACCATATATAATGTTCCATTACTTTATAGTACTTTGAACTTTTTATAGCAACCACGTAATAGCATGTCATAACAATCAGATGTAAATATTTTCACATAAATTCTGTTGAGATAATAAAAATTTAAGCTCATTTAAGCTGACTTAATTTTTTTCTTGAAATAATAGGCATGACGTTAATTAAATGCATTATAATGTACTATATATAAAAAATATTACCTTTAATAAAAAATCCTACAGGAATTTTACCTTTTATATATTTTTAAAGTTTCGCTATATTTTTCTTTATTGAAATCTTTTATGTTGTTTATTATATTGTAATATGTCATTTAATTCATCATTGTTTCGAGGTAGGCAAAAAGTTTCGTAAAAAATATTTTAATATTTTTCGATATTGAAAAAATAAATTTCGCTAATTGGATGTTTTATGAAACTCACCTTTCGTACAGTTTTGTGTGAGATCTGTAAAGAAAGAAATAAGTTGTTATTAGATTATATTCAATAACGAAATTAATTTCGGCGTAATTTTGTATATATTTTTTATAATAATAATTAGATGGCAACGCCAGCAAAAATAATTTTCGCTTAAAACCATTATCTGCTTTATGTAATCCTCAAGGAATATATGTAAGTTTATTATAAATTATAAATTAATTTATATATGTGGCAACCCTATTATTTATTTTGCAAGTTCATGTACCTGTATTAAAGCTACTTCAATAACTTTTTGTTTTCATTATTTGATATAAGTTATTCCAATAATTTTAGTTCTTCAACTAACTTTATTATTTTCAACGTCAAAATTTTTGAACGATGGCAATCTTTTTCGAAAAGAGTTTTGTAAATCAGAATACTAAAAATATTAATAATTTTTTTTGATGTTAAGTCCATTATTTTTTCATTCGTTTATTATACTTTTTCTATAAATAAAATTATTTTTTAAACAATATTAAATTAAGCTGGCGACACTTTTTATTCTTTTTTATTAAATATATGTTTTTTTAAAGTATACGTTCGAATATTCTTCTGTTTTTGACAATTCGGTATTCAAAATATGTATACAAAAGTAAATCCGTTGAAAAAATCTCTCATATAAGGTACCGCAAAAAATTATTTAACAAAAATACTGTATTGCATTAACTCAACTTAAGCTTTTTGCCGCCAAATAACTTTTGCTTATGCTTGTGAAATAAAGTAAATTTAAACTTTTCAAAACTTTTTAGCTTTTTTTTAACACTATAAATAAACATGTATTAGTTGTGAGAAAATGTGAGAAATCATATTCAAATCAAGCAGAAAAACTCCAAAAATAAATATAGCTGCTTGCTGCGCCAACAGGAACGCAAAAACGTTGTTTAAACAAACTTTGAATGCTAAATTCGACAGCTGACCCCAGGGACAATTTGCAACGAATTTCTATAACACAAAGCAATGGTGAGGAATAATGTACAGATAAAAAGAAAAGTAAAAATAAGAAAATAAATATGTATATACATATATACAGGAAAATATATGAAGAAAAACGATGTTAAGAGTTAAATAAGTTTAAGTTATGTATTTACGAACAACTATGAAGTCGTTACATTGAAGTGTTTAAAAAGCTTTAAGTTAAATTTGTCAATCTCTTGAATGTAAACGAGGATAAACTATTAAAACATTAGACTAATTTTGTATCAAGCTTTAACATTTTCCCTCAAGAAGGCGTTACAACGCCTTAAACACTAAAAATGTGGAGTTTAAAGCGAGTTAAGGTTAACATAAGTAATAGTAAAATTCTTTAAAATTTCTAAATATTCAACACCAATATGGCTATTAAACTCGAGTTCGTGTTAGAAATGATTTGTAACAATCATTAGAAGTCCATTAAACGGACAATTTGATTCAGTATAGAGTTATATATTAACAAATACTAAAATCAGCTGGATGGAACTACGATTATTTATAACATATTTCAGTTGCAGCATTCCGAAGGTGTTAGGTGTAGGTTAAGTTAGGTTCCAGGGCAACAAAGATCACATGGTTCCACCTGGACTGATAAAAAACTGAATACTTCTATTGCCGAAAAATATGGTTCCATATGGATTATTTAGTAAATTATGCAAGGCGTCAATCGTCTCGAACAAATCTACGTGGACAAGCGACCCCACAACCAGCAGGTCACAGGCATACGCCGCAAGCAATAGCGTCTTCGGTGCGCACTGTATAGCTTCTCTGACGACGCGCATTATCCACTAAAGTATACGTGGTACAAAACCGATCCATGGATCCTCGAAATACCGACTCTGCTGAGCAATTATGCCGACAGAAGCGTTCACACATTAAACGTCTAAAAAGATATACGTCAAGTTTTTAGAGATTACAATAATATCGATTGGTTAATGATGAGCTCGAGAGAGGAAGAAAAATATACGTTTACGAAAATTTTAAGCACCGCAAATTTTTACACGGGTGATCACATGAAGACAGAGTCAATTACTTCATTAATACATATATACTGCATTTAATTTGGTAACAGTTTTTTGTAGTAAATAATATGACAGATATTGACTGCGTTAGAAAGGCTAAGTGGACTTGCCTTCGAATCATAGTGTTTGAGTGAGGCCACGAGTTTAACTCAATTCTTTTAAAGTTTAATCATAAAAATTTGTAAAGACATTTGGTTTAGGTTCTGCCAGTTTAAAAATATAATATAATCGAAGGTAAACGCTATATAACATTCTAAAACTCCACTTAAAATTAATTTAAATTTTTTTTTATTTTCAAACTCTTTTAGTTAGTTCTTTATCTATATGACACAGGAAAAATACAGAAACCAGACAATAACAGTTGCTAACTAGAGAAATAAAAGCACAGTAGACAACAAATGACGACTAAAACATTTTCCACAGCCTTGTAGCGAAAGCACGCAGCAAACTAGTAGTAATAGCTGATGATTCTTGCTGACCTTCCCATCAACTCTGCGCACCATTTTCCGCCTTTCTTCCCTACTCCCTCGCATTAAAATTCACTTATCTTTTTCTTTGTCGAGTTCACCTGTTACAGCCGCTCTGACATTGCCGCACTCGCCACTCAGCTGTTTCTTGTTTACCTTTTTGCTGTAAAAGCTCCACAAAGACTCGCTACACCGACAGTCGGCTGTCTTGTTGGCCGCTTGAATGGTTTTTCAGATTTGATTGCAACCGCCGCTTTGACAGTCGTTTTTTGCTTTTCGTTTCTGTTGTTGCTTTGGCTTATCGGCGCTTCACCGACACTGCTGGTTGCGTGTAGTGTTTTAGCAATTGTTGTTTTTATTCCCACATTTTTTATTGTTGTTGTACGCGTCTTTTATTGACATCGATTTGAGTTTAGTATTCCCCACTATTCAAACGGTTTATTAAAGCGCACGTGCCCACACATAGACCGTGGTTAGTTTTAATTTTCTTTTATTTTTTTAGAGTGTTTAGTGTTTTTGTTGCTAGCTGTGTTCAATTGGTTTCTGTGGTTTGATTTTGCTGAGATTTTCTGATGACTCTGTTTCGACAGTGTTTTGCTTTGTGACTTGCCAGTTCTACTGCCGAACGCTGATTAATTTTTGTTGTTGTATTTTATAATTTACCGTTGCAAAACTTTTAGTTTGTGGCAATTTGGTTGTATAATAAAATTGTGAGATTGAAAAGATTAGATTTTAAAGGTTTTTTATATATATTTCGAATAGAAAGAAAGGTCTTTTGAGAGTTCTGCCGGTTATAGGTGAGAAGCGACTTCTTTCAGTGCGCTAAATAAGACTATACCCTATAACACAAATTTCTGCCAAGTTAGTCGAGACAACAAGACAACCAATAAAATTGCGACTTCGTAGATTTTGGTAGTCCTAAAGTCAATCCATAGAGTTTAGACTATTTCATATCGAGATTCTTTTTGGTAGATACAAATCTTGAACACCAATAAACTCTCGAAGAGATACTCCGCCTTTTTGCGTTTTTTTTTTTAAATATTATCTTAACGTGACGTGACAATCTGAACTAGAGGTTTTCACTTGAGGTTTCATAAATATCGATAAAATGTATTTAAATATTTTAGAATAGGAAAACGATGCTTACCAAATGTGCGTTGACGGCTAGTTAAAGAATATCTAAGCTAACTACAAAACGGCATTAATTCACTTCATGATAAGACTAGTATGGATAAAAGTCCACAGCAGGTAACTGCGAAGCTGACGAGTTTGAAAAAGCTACTTAGCTCGGGGTTCCGCTCTCTTTGTGCATTCTACTACTTGATGGCTGCGCTTCACGAGAGCTTTGCCAGCGCTGGCCTACCACTACTTCTTACGATGTCGAAAGATCATTTTGCATCAAAAAGATTCGCAAGAGGTCTATTGAGCTCTTCGCCTTCAGTAAGGTTAGTCCTTCCTTAGTTGTAGGGGTTGTTGGTGGTTATTGTCTTATCGGTGTCCAAGTGACTTATAAAGCCGTCAGCGCTTTGTCGACTTAAAAGCTCTAATTACATTAGTACTTCTTTTCTGGCTTAACCAAGAAAGAATTATCCAAGTACAATCGTCATCTTAAGGCAATAGCTTTGTAATAATATTATTTCGAAATAATTCGTTTGTGTTACAGACAGCAGAAGGTCACCAGCTGACTCATAAAATTTTATATAATGTAAAACAAAAATTGTATAAGCGAACATATGTCCGATCTTCGAATAATATATATCTCAATGCAACTTGGTTTGTAATTATTCTAAGTTTATAGTTTATCCTAATAATTATTCATTAAATGTATTTTATTTAACTCATAAATAGTTTAGATCATTTTCAAGCAATTCGCACAGTCCGTCGTACAGCTGTTGAGCTAGCTGTGAAACTTGGTTGAAACCAGTTTGACATAACGAGATAAATAAGCTTGCAAAATCACCTGACCGTATGTCACCATAATGTGAATATACAACTAAGCAACGACCAGATAAATTTTTTTTTTTTATTAAAATATAAAATATTTACGTATTTATACAGATGGCGGATATTATAGACAAGTAAATTGAGATTGAGGGTCGTTAGTTTGCAGAAGTTCGAAAAAAAACTCAAACAGCGGTTATCTAACAATGGTTGTCCCTGAGGAAGGGAATATTGAATGTTCAAGCTGATATGCATTTTTATTTGTAAGATAACCTCATAAACCGTAGGAAGCGATGTTATGCCACCTATTTTATGTACAGCCACTTACATGACTTCTTTATATGTAAAATACTTGCGTTCCATATTTCGGAGAATGAATGGCAACGCATTGTTCTACAGATTCCTTTATGCTAGGTTAGGTTAGGTCGCGATGGATCATACTTGAACAGCTGAAAGGTTAATTTCGGTTACCATTAACTTTTACAAATCAGCCGAGACTAACTCTGAAAATGATTGTAAATATCAAAACCACTACCTAAGCTCTTCGAACTAGCCTTCTTATTATGTTTAGAGTAGTCAGTTCATACAG